TCCAAAGTATGCTTTTGGATTATGCCATTCATATTATCATATAACAAGTTACAATATAGGAGAGATGGTTGTACATAGGCACTCATATTTCTCTACTATGCTCTATTTAAACAGTTCCACTATCATGCTCTCATTTATTTATTAGTCAATTATTTTCTTTGTGTTTTTAAAATTTCCTAGTGGGGTATGACTAAAAGCCTGTCTTCAATTTTAAAATCAGTTCCAATCCAATCAACAGCTAGAGACCATTTCACATTTGTTTATTGTTCAAAGGCTGATTAGATTGGGAGATAAATATAAAAGAGAAAGTTAAAATATGCCTAAGGCATCTTTTTTGCTTTTATTAATGTTTTTTGGTTAATTTTTATTGGTTTTGGCCATAGGCCATAAGGATACAACATCATGACAAAAGATATTTAAAAAGAGTAAAAAGCAAGGGACTAAGAATAAAATGACCATAAAGCACAGTAACAAAATTTACAATGTAATATATACTTTCTCAAAAATTGCTGATCGCATTTGGCAGCTGCCACGGTAAGATGAATTACTCTCACTTGGTTTATTGTATTGAGGGTGTACAGTTACTACGAATTTTGAATTCCTGGCCTTTAATTATTTGAGGAAAAGGGTACCTCATATCCTCAGAAATAGGACAGCCCTCTTAAGACTTTGAGGGAAAGCAATGCCTTGCGGGCTGCATTCAAGAGAATGTTCATGTTACGAAAAAATGTGTCCTCACATGCAAGAAATACCTGCAATATGGTTTTTTTTAAGGAGTTTCAGAGGTTGCAGTAGGAAAATGAAGGAGGAAATTTCCATTTACTGAACTACAGTTTGATCCAGATGGTAAATCAAGGCAAAGTTAGGTACATACAGATTCTCTTAAAGTCAGTGTAAAAAGTTAGTCATGAAATTTCTAATTGAAATCCCTTTCATGCCAGTGAGTCTGTGACTAATGTACTCTGAAACTCACATAATGGCTGCTGGGTTTATACAGTTCAACATGTTTATCAGGTCAGTTAAAAATGTGGTGGCTGTGTTACCCAAATATGCTTATTTAGCCTGGTTAGTTTTCTGTGGCTTAGCAGCTTGTGTAAACTGAATAAGTTTAACTATGAATGAAGGCTCAGCCTTCAAAGTTGCAGGAATAGTATAGTAATAGCTCTTTAAAATGGTTGGGAGCCTCTCCTGAATCTTTAATGAACTAAAGGATTACTTCAAAAGTGGGGTGGGGGGGGGGGAGGGGGGAAAGGGATAAGGGTGGGCATGGACTTTTTTGGGTAAG